TACATAAAAGCACCTATTTTATCATTTTATTCTTTTAGCTAAAATAATGAGCGTGTAAGTTGGGTACATTTACTTTTGTATGAAATTACGGATAGAGTTTATACATAATAGATTGAATGTGACAAATTTGTGTACTACTGTGAATATTATATCAATATAATTTATGATATAACTTAATTATTTTACCTAGGTGGATGAGCTCTTAACTGACCTAATAAAAAAAGGGATTGCCGGACCTTACTCAACCACGTAAAGTTAAAGTTTCAATTGCTTTGACTGTTTTACCGTACATGTATGTATGAAATATGTTTCGCTGTAGGCCCGTGTGGGCTTGCAATAAATTCTAACACGTATTAGACAGCATAATCTATAAAATATAAATAATAAGGACGATTTTAATGGATAGTTGATGGACGTGCAGCAAAAGATCCAGTCAAAGATCGTATCGTAAGTATTTTGATTAATGGTCGGATATATTAATACATATATAACTAGTGATCCCGCTGTAGTCGAAATTTGACTATAATTAATTGAAATTATAAGTTTGAACATTATTATGGTTATATTGTCAAAGACTATTATTATACATCTATAATCACAGAGACTACACTATAGACAAATAATATTAAAGATAAACAATTTTAACCTATTTTCAATTTGACCGCAGACTTTAAGCATTCACTAAAATTTGACAATAAACAAAGAGTATATCTACATATGTGTATGTGTCAAATACATGGCAGTGTGTGTAATGTTTTCTTTATTGATTTAATGTATCTTTTATGCATTATTTTTAAAAAACATTAGCATGTGCACTCCTTCTCTATATTCTCTATAAGTGTGGGAAATTTCATACTCCTCCGTCCGCGCAATTTTCGTAAAAAGGGGTACAAAGTTTTTGCTTCACGTATTAATATATAGATAATATCAATCTTTGATATTGATTCGTTTAAAAGTCTACTTCATTTACTTGAAAACTAAGGGCGATCTGGTGATGACATTGATTAATTTACTTTTAGGTTCAGACTTTCAGGAAGATCGAACGCTCACTGACGCCTTTTAGGTGTGAAGATGAAGAATTACCACGCGAACAGGCTTCGAGAACAAAATATCTTAAAAAAACTCGCAGCATTATGTCTCAGGAATACATTACATTAGTATAATAATGGTTTTATTAACAGATTAAAGATTGCAAGGAGAAAGAACCAAGCTGTCGATAATTCTATTCTCACGGATTGTTTGGTATCTTCGGGTCTGCGGCGGGACCTAAGTTCTCTCTGTATTTTTACCGTATCTTCTATGGGGAGTGCTCTGAGGAATTGCTTGACGTGATCCCATCATTTCGTTTTAACCATCACACTGCCCACCACTACACACACACACCCACACACACACAACCCACACACACACAACACACACACACACACACACCACACAGTAGAGGTCATTCATACTATTTGGAGCCACTGCGTTCATCCACAGTGCGTCTCCAGCGATCTCTTTTGCCACGTACCATCCGACTTTCGAAGTACTTCCCCTCCACGGTGTTTTCCCGAGCGCTATGACATGTTCTTCTTCAAACGAGGCTTATGGAGAGTATTTAATGGTAGGCAGCGGCTTGGCTCTGCCCCTGGCATTGCTGACGTCCAGGGGCGACGGTAATCACATACCATCAGGTGGGCTGTATGCTCGTCTTCCTACATGGGCTTTAAAAAAAAACTAATGTAGTAGAAGGATCAAACCAGCAACAATATTGAGATTTAGTCACCAAGATTATTTGTCACTGAGAATCGAGCTGCTTGGATGAAAATACTTTACAGCAATCCACAAAGGTCTATCGATTTCACCTTCGTGTATTTTATAAGGAGTATAGAATTTGTTCATCATTAACGAATTTAAATGTATTCATGACAGTAAAGTATTATTCGAACAGGAAAATAAATCCTTATTCGATGAATACGGACGCACAATTAATAATTGGCTATTCTCCGAAAGCCTTACCTATATTTGTCAATTTTATTTCCTTACCTGTAGCATATTGTATTTCTGAACATTTTATTTTCCTTTAGAAATTTAACTTAAATGAAATTGGATGCTGTTTTTACGAGAGCATTTGATAAGAACAAGTATTAGACTGCTTGTCTAATAGGAAAAGAGTATATAATCGTTATAAAAGATCTAAATATAATTAAAACGAGTTTAGCAATTTAACAATTTTATTCGTGCATCTATAAATCATTATTGTACTTATTCAAGTAATCTGAATTATTAAATAAAATATAATAATATCACGCAGTTTGCTGGTACAAGAATTAAAGTATGCTGCTGCTCATTCTTTAGTGAATCCCTCGTTCGCCTTTTACATCACTCACGGGAAGAGTGGTGGAAGGGAAGGGTGGTGCTATCGTAGACTAAACAAATCGTTTGAGGTTATCTATAGTTAAAAGGTCTTGCCAAAACCATACATCACAACCATACATCATATTTGCTTCTCTTAAATGAAACCGATATAATTAGAATATACTGGAATTCTTCTTCTTCGTCGCTTTCTTCATTGCTGAAGGTCGTGTCCCTGAAACTTGACGGTTGCCTGTCTCGTGAGCTGTTTCCATCTCGTCCGGTCCTCAGCTGCTCGAATGGCGGTTGCGACTGGCAACCCAGTTAGAGCGGTTACTTGATCACACCAACGGCTAGGTAATCGGCCGCGGGGTCTCTTTCCTTCTACTTTGCCCGTCATAATCACTTTGTCCAAGTTATCTGACTGTCGGCGGGCAATATGACCGAAGTAGCTGAGNATCACACCAACGGCTAGGTAATCGGCCGCGGGGTCTCTTTCCTTCTACTTTGCCCGTCATAATCACTTTGTCCAAGTTATCTGACTGTCGGCGGGCAATATGACCGAAGTAGCTGAGGATCCTCTGGTAACAGATTGTTGAGAGCCTGACTCGGATGCGAAGCTGATCCAGGATAGATTTATTTGTCCTCTTGGCCGTCTTTTTTATTCATACTGGAATATCGATACAGGAAAAATTGGTAATTGAACAAAGCAAGGTGGTCCATACAATTATTATTAGTGTAATCAATGTTGCAAAAATACATATCGAAATAACTAATAAATTTATTCCTCAAACGTGACATTTTGTTTAGGGTACGCATGTTAACATGTAATTTATATTCCCGGGGCCTCAGATCCATTTGTCAAACGACATTACTTGTACTTTTCTTGTCAGTACCAGTTCCAAGGTCTTCCATTACCGGTAATAGCTTATAAGTTTCTTCGTGTATGTTTGTTTACTCAAGTCTCTACTACGGCAGTTGTGCCATTGCACTCCCGAGGTAGAGCAGTAAGCGAATGTGTAGTACTTTATATGTTTTGTAATAAATTATCTAAAATTTCTTAGTGTATTTGCTCTGATTTGAGGAATTTATCTTATTCTAAAATATTGCTACATTGGTATTTTAGGTTCGTTTATGCTTAATTTCGTTTGTATTTTATCTGATAAATAAAGAAAATATAAGTGGAAAGAAATCCTGTGAGATCATAGTTTTACTTGGTTCTACTGTGAAGCAATCATGAGTTCCAATTTGAGGTTTGGGGCACCCGTTAAACAATTGAGACTTCGATCTCATATCTCAAGATGAGAGACAGCATTCATGTTTTGGTGTATTTGGGTTTCACTAGCCACTTGTAACGAAGTGATTCTGTTTACATTCCGATTAGTAACAGTATCCAATTACCCGTTTTTTCGTTCTTTAATTCTATAGTTTCTTGCGACTACTATAAATACGGCTGGGATCATTATCAACTGTAGACTTAGATAATTTTTATTTAAATAATTTTTTTTAGTTACATTTTTCCTAAAATACCTTTGCTTATTGATTATCTCGTCACCAAATTCTAAAATAAAAATACTAATTGCGGAAACTGAATAGTTTCGTCATTGCCTTGTATTGCATTACATATGTAGAATTGTTAAAATGTCAAGGTTAAATGAAAAAAAAAACCTTTTAGTCGCAAATGTACAACAAATTTTACCTTCGACCAGAATGTTCCGCGTTAAATTTCACATTTCACGAGTCACGCGAAGCACGATCTTTGTTTTATCGCGCTAAAAATATTCTGGCCACATAAAGGTTGCAGAGCTCTCTAATTAGATAAAAGGCTTTGTTATACCTTTTGCGAAAAAGGATCATTATAGCGAACTGAGTTAGACATTCAACCCACTAGCGTAATGAATTAAAGTTGTAAATAAAGTTGATTGTAGTAGCTAGTTTTGTGGAAGATCATATTAAGGAATACTTTGCAGAGCTGGCTGCAAATTTACACCTCAAAAGTATGGTGATAAAAAAACAACTTTTATGGTATTTGTGTAGTAAGGCGAACGAGCTCTCGATCCATTTGATGTTAAGTAGTAACAATAATCAATAGGTACTACAACACGAAATTCTTCCTGCATCGTGCCCAATACTTCAAACCATTTATCCTCCGGGGCGAGATTATCGACGAGTGTTGCCTCAAAATATGACCTACCATTAAATCAGAGATCAGGGTCCCCCTCAAATTTTTGTTGTAGACTACAGAAAAAAATAAGGTTTATTATTGCTTATATCTCTTGAGCCCCCTTTTTATTAATATAAACCCTCGGTGGTCCCTGGCGATCGATGTCACTTTGGGTATCACTTTTAAAATGTAACAGCTTGAAAATTAATATGAAAATTAATCCATCTTCCGCTTCTTCGTCTTTCATTTCAATTCAACTTCCGTTATAGACAAATGAAAATTCTAGTGTAGCCCATTATTCTCGAAGGACAGATCCTTCAATAAAGATTTGAAGATGTCGTCAAACGTCTTTCTTGACCTTCTTTAGTTGGAATAGACAATTCCATGTAAACAAGAAAGACCGTGTGCCCATTGTACAATACTTTGTTTACATAATATATACGGGGTTCCGCTTATTGGGGTTGCGGTTCGTAGCGGCAGTCGCGCTACAACGGTCGGGCGCTACGGTTGGGCGCTACGAGCTTCCAGCTACGAAACGGCGACAACTAGGCGATATGTTGCGGCGGTCGGTCGTGTTTCTGGCACTCTTCGTCTACGTGCAAGGGCGGGCGGTGAGAATTTATAGTAGTTTATATTTTACATAATTGTTTTATCTTTAGTTTTTAATGGTATACTGGTATTACTTGAATAAATGTACTGCACTGAATCACAAAAAGTGTTTTCAATATTTCCGACATTTGAAGCAATATGTTTTAGTTATGTATAGGTATTATTCGCAAAACATAATATACATTATACAAACATGGCATTATACTGGCAGAACAAACCATCGTTGATTCTATTCAAAACAACTTCCCAGTGCGGTGCGGTACACGATATAACATTGTTTTCCCGGTCCATAAATTTCCTGATTTGCGTTTGTTTAATGTATCGATAAACTTGTTTTTTTGTTTTTGTTTTATGTCGAATGATATTAGGTTTTCTGATAGATACTTAGGGGATATACATATGTATTTCGCTACGTGTCAACTTTGTAATCCTGTATTTTATGTAGATTTTTAGTTCATCGAAGCGTTTAATTCAAAATATGGAAAACTGGGCGTTTGTTTTTAAACACCTTAGTGATGAGAAAAAATTTATTTAGCTGTAAATAAGCAAGTATAATATTTTCAGAACAAAAATTTATGATGCATTTTTATGGGTAAAAGTCACGCGATGCCGTCTCCAATTAATTTTCATTCATTAGCTAAATTGAATGCGCGATATTACGATTAATTAGATTCTCATGAGTCCTCTTTGACTATTGAGTCTTAAATAACCCGAGACCAAATTAGTTCCTCATGTGACTGATTGTGTTACGAGGATCCAAATTTAAGTTTAAGTACCGTTTTAAACTACCGATGGCTGTAAATAGCAGTAAACTAAACAAGCATCTGAGGTGCTTTCTCAAAGAAACTTCGTCTCTAAGTCGTGGAATCAAAGTTTATTTTCGTTGCCAAAATTCATGTTTTCTAATGACTTTGAAAATCGAAAGTCATTCGGTGACTGACTGGAGACAATTTAAGTCAAACGACGTTCTGATGAAGCTATGTCCTCGTTCTAAACTCTTGAATGTTGTAATTAATTATTAAAATATTATATAGGTTTATTTTGTACATAAATTTAATATTAATCATGAATGCCATTCGAGAATTGATGAGGCTGCCACGTGTTTCTGGTCGCGTTAAAATATGTATTAAGTGAAAAAAAAAACAGTTTGCCGTTTTCCTCCAAAGGCAGAAGCCGTACATTACTTAGTTCATCTGAATATTACACTAGTAAAAACGAGTATGGATACTCACATAAATTTTGTTTACAACCTCAGGTTGTACCTAAATTTTTATTTATATTATTACAAATGCCGAACTATTTTAAATCTCTGGCTGGATACTTGTGGTGGTAAGGTTTTCGTACTTTACTACACCACTTCATTTTATTATCAAATCTCTTGCTTTTTTCCCTCATCCCCTTAATACATCTACTCTGTATAATTAACTCACGGTTTTCTTCAAATCAGGAAAGAGACTATTGCAATGCTTGTGTAATAAAATAATGCCATAGAATAATGAACAAAAATAATTATATAAAATAAATACTAACATACGAGATCAGTGGTCCGGTATCAATGACAAAAAGAGACTTTTTGATCTTATGTGACGATGAAGATTTTATGCAAATACTGGTAGCTCATGGGCTCAATATAAATGCTCTTCCTTGAAACGTGAGATCGATGCGCCAATCGAATTAGAACTATGACTATTGTATTGTTTATAATCGAACGTATGATAAGTTTGTAATCTTCATATCAAGATTTTTTTTTTCCACCGATAAATAACACAGATGAAATTAAAAAAAAATGCAATAGTATCGAGTCCAAACGTATTCCTCACTGCTGTCAAAAGTCAGCTCCTCTAATTCTAGGATAAAAATTCACAAGCCAATCGTACAACTCGACAACATAGAGATATCCATAATTTAATAGTGCTAAAGATAAGTTCGTTTTTTGAAAATGAAAAGTTAGTTAAACAAGCTATGTTGAAGATTGCAGAAATTAAATTGCAAAATTTTAGTTATGATTGACGTTTTTACTGATTTTACTTTTTAGTCTCGGATGCAAAAAAAAATAGTATAGCACTCATCATCATAGTCGGTTACTCTTGGTAGAGCAGTCGTTGGTCATGTGGAATTCTTGTTTATTAAAGCCTTGTAAGTATAGCACTAACCACCGCCATATGTTTTCTTATCCAATCTTATGTATTTTATAATATTGTTTTTCGTTAATCTATCACAAATAATAATACGAACTAACAAAATTATTTTCAATAAAATTTCTTGAAATTTGAAAGAAAAAAATAATAATTTCTATGTATAAAATTATATATGAAAATTAAATTTCAATTTATCCGATTAACTTGGAACTTTGTACAGTTGTAGTTCACTGATTTCAACTCGGTCACGGTTGGCTAAGACTATCATTAATTATATGAAAAACTTCAATTTCTATATGTTTAAAGGTGTTCCTTACTCGTCCTCTATGCTTCGTTCAACGCAATGTATTGCCTATTCTGATGTATTATAGTTATTTTGTTAAGAAGTTTTATCAAAATTGATTACGCAGTTTTGCGCAAAACATCCATCCATCATCACAAACTTTCGTATTAAATTATTAAGCATTTGAAATATATTTTGATATGATTTAAATTAAGCCAGAATAACTTTATTTTAGTATTTGGATTGGAACATACGAGCTTGCAACGACAGTCTTTTATAGCTACTAATATAATTTCAAAGGTAGTTAGTTACGTCTTCATCTTATAATATGTTTTTGTTAGCTAATTCTGCATCAACGAAGCAATCATTTTTTTAAAATGCAAAATAGTGGTTATGTGATACAATTGGAACTTTGGTCCTATCTTTTATTTTTAAAATTGCCGACGCAATAAACTCTAAAAATTGTTTCAAAGAAACATGTAGACTACCTCCTGTTGTTTGAATTGCGAACTCAAATGGAAGACTCGAGAATTTCAGCATGTTAATTAAGTTATCTGGAATAGGTTGTTCGAGAGGCCAGCTTCGAGCTCAACCAATTGTCCTATATACCCGAATACCAATTAATGGAGGTATTCCTTACGAAGATCTAGAAATTCTTTATGAAATATTCTTCTATTGATCTACTACACATCTACACTGACTCGAAAATGTAGCAATAGATTCTTGCAATTTATGAACAGAATCAATTAAATGTAGTCATGAATAAAGTATAAATAGTATTTTTCAAATTAAGAAACATTTGAATGTATAAAGGGCATAAGGGGATAAGCATGGTGAAATTATCTTTGAGCCATATTTAATTGCTATCATGGGGATACATTAATACTAAGATACTAGCGGTTACCCATACGGGCTAGTACTGGGTATCACCAGCCTCCGTGAAACAATAATGCGTTACGGCTTAAGAACCACGGTCCGCCCGGTGTTAAGTGATAATTGGTGCCCACAAATGAAGTAGCTCACTTTGAGACATATAATCTGAGTCTCTATTATAAAATGTAGCCACTAGACCGCTCTGTAAGCCTCAACGCAGGCTGGATTTAGACAGACGTGGATAGGATACCAATAGGAACATCAAAAGTAATTAATTGTCTTACAGTAACCTCGTAACAACAATATTACTTCAAATGCCATTTACGTATCTATTTGCTTCACTTTAAGCAAACATTAATTATATAAATAAAACAAAATCAAAAATCTATATGTGTGTTTGTCTGTGATGAAATTTAGAGTTGTTGTGGCAAGTCAAGGGATATTTCAACAAAAATACAATGCAAATACATCATACTTTTAATATCTAGCGTTAGTTACAACAAGACGCGACTGGGTTTAATTAGTCTAATATACCTACATAAAAAACACGTTAACAAAACTCTACTAATAATTAGTATTTATTATACGGAGCTGAAAACTCATAAGGTGAAAGCTGATTCGGAATAACAATTGCAGAGGGTCATACGGTGCACGTGAAACTTTGTTAACACGAAAACTTTAAGCTGAAAATGCTGAATATGCAATTTCACTCCGCACGGTTTTCGAAGGCACTGTACAGGAAAAATGTAAACTAAATTAACAAGAATTTCTGCATGTTTTACTTTTTTTACTGACTTGGAGCTGCAAAAGCTAACAGCTTGACTGTTGTGTCGAGTGTCGTGGCTTCGATTCCCACATCGGGCCTACATTGCGTGATGAACAGTTTTTTTTTTGCTTAGATGGGTGGACGACCTAACAGCCAACCTGGTGTTAAGTAGTTACCGGAGCCCATTGACATCTACAACATAAATGCCGCCATCCACTTTGAGACATGAGTTGTACGGTCTCACTTTTAACAGTACAACGGCTGCCCCGCCTTTCAAACCGAAACGCATTACTGCCTCACGGCAGAAATAGGCAGGGTATATAAGCAAGTATTTCAGACTTTGGTACCCATAATAAAGGGAATCCTAAATTGGGGCCGGGTGACCATGCGTGATTTCTTCTCAGTTATTTTTATTACTTGCTTTAGATGCAATTTATTGTTTATATTATTTTACAAATAAAAAACCTACATAACCTGCGAACTTTCACCTGAAAGTCGCTTGATATTACTGATCAATAAGTGCGAGAAATGATATCATTTAGCGACATGCCAAGCCCTTGCAAGTTATAATGGAGTTATTTTATGTCGTATAGCTCGGATCGCTTGAGGGTATTGTTTTGTATCAAAACTTAGCCTTGTTATTGTTATAGTTACGAAGATTATAGCCCGGCACATGTCCCGCGGCGTCTTGTTGTCTTGTTTTACTTGGGGTACCGTTCAAATCACGTAGACATGTTAATGTTATATTATCAGACGTAGTTATCTTCATACGAAAACGTTAAATGTTATTTTATCATACAGGTGAACATCAGCAACACATGGGTACTCCCGGAGGAAGGTTTCCCTGTGTTCTACCGCTACTTCAGGGACCGCATATCCTGGTATGAAGCTGATGCCGTCTGCCAGTTCCACCATGCCAACCTCGTCACAGGTTAGTCCAAATATTAATATAATGTTTTATTTTATTTACATCAAAATACAGTTTAGCCTAGTAAAACTATAGCACAAATTGAGTTGCTCTATAAAGAGAAACAACATTCAAAGCTATTGCTTCACCACTGTTTTATGTTTTTTTATATTTCAATATTACAAAATGCTTTTATATTTCTAATGTTCCTTCTTCGAATGTTTCAATATTCAAAATTCCATTTATGTCATCTTTATAACATATTAACCTCTTTATAATTATAACCTCAATATAAAAATATTGATGAATCACTAAAAGTATGCATCTTCTACAAATTCGTTTCACAATTCGGAGAACTTCATTCATAGTTATTATAGAAATATAATCTTCAAGAGAGAGAGAGAGAGAGAGTACGTAAGTAGCCAGAACAAAATTTATAGAAAGTTTAAATAGCTTTTATAACTTACTTAGGTAAATCAAGAGGCAGGATTTTTCGTCTTAAACAAAGTGAAAAGTTTTGAGGGGCAGGTAACAATACAAACATTACCCTAATTAGATTAAAGATTAGAATTTCTGTTTAAAACTTTCTTGAATAAGTTTCTCCAAGTGGATTTCTGTTCTAATTGAAATTAGAGGATTTTGCTTTTCAGGTTTCGGGGTTTTAGTTAGTGTTCAAATAAGCGTTTAATTGTTGGTATCTCACAGACGATTTGTAAATAATGGCCGATGTTTTAAAAACTATACTACTATATATACTGGTGGTAGGACCTCTTGTGAGTCCGCACGGGTAGGTACCACCGCTCCGCCTATTTCTGCCGTGAAGCAGTAGTGCGTTTCGGTTTTAAGGGTGGGGCAGCCGTTGTAACTATACTGAGACTTTAGAACTTATATCTCAAGGTGTGTGGCGCATTTACGTTGTAGATTTCTATGGGTTCCAGTAACCACTTAACACCAGGTGGGCTGTGAGCTCGTCCACATATCTAGGCAATAAAAAAATAAAAAAATAAAACATAAATGTTTAACACGTTTCGATATCCGCCAAGGTCGTTAGGTGTAATCGTCGGCAATCCACCGAAGACCTCCATTATCGTTGATGGGCCCTCGAACCCTCGGCAAACACCAGCTCGTCACATATAAATATACGCGTCGATAAGAAAATGCAGATACGCGATACATTTTCTCATGCGGGAATAAACGAACCTCCTATAAAGGGCAATAAATTTCATCGCCCATGTGATGTACTCTACGTGAATTTAGATTAAGCAAACGGATCAAATAATATGTACATAATACAGTGTATGCTTGAGAAGTTTTTACTTAATTTTAATGCTAATAGTTTACTAGGATTAATCAATGGTGACCTCTGATTTCAATTTCGAATAATTCACGAGCGGTTCACTTATCAAAAGGTTGATTCATTATGTATCCATAAGCAAAGGGCCGGTAACGAGGGCGCCTTCGATACCGTCTACTGATTCTGGCTCTTATTACACCCCGACCCATCAATTTCATATTTAATATCAATTCCCCAAATGGAAATGTAGATTAAACTTGTTCAACTTCATTTCGTCTAAATCGATATGTACTCGTAGATATGGGGGTATTGTCGACTTTCCGTTTTTTTTTTATTGCTTAGATGGTTGGACGAGTTCACAGGCCACCTGCTTTTAAGTGGTTACTGGAGCCCATAGACATCTATGACGTAAATGCGCCACCCACCTTGAGATATAAGTTCTAAGGTCTCAATATAGTTACAACGGCTGCCCCACCCTTCAAACCGAAACGCATTACTGCTTCACGGCAGAAATAGGCGGGGTGGTGGTACCTACCCGCGCGGACTCACAAGAGGCCCTACCACCAGTAATGCTGCCATCTAAATGTTCAAATGATTTTTTCAGTAAAGATATCTCATGTAAAAATACATGAGATAGAATTAGAGTATTCAAATAATTATTTAATGTTGAATCATAGCAGAAGATTATACCTAAGAGCATTTTAAATGATACGTACAATATTTTTATGAAAAACACTCTAAGAGAAAATGCTCATAAGCAATCTTTATATCATATAGGTATATATGAAAACTAAATACATAAAAAATAAGTACAATCCATTTTTTTTTTATTGCATATATGGGTGAACGAGCTCACAGCCCACCTGGTGTCAAGTGGTCACCGGAGCCCATAGACATCTACAACGTAAATGCCGCCACCCACCTTGAGATATGAGTTCTAAGGTCTGAGTATAGTTATAACGGCTTCTCTCACCCTTCAAACCGAAATAGGCGGGCAGTGGTACCTACCCGTGCGGACTCACAAGAGGTTCTACCACCAGTAGACACAACAAAACACAACAAACCACTCTTGTAACATGACACATTTTTGTTGATGTATCAAACTTGAATATTCAGTACTTTCAACTATAAAGATAATACAGAAGAGCCTCATTATTTGACGCTCGTCTCATTTATTCCAAAGAGTACAGCTGAAAACAAAACAATACCTACTTATTCGTCTTTGTTTACAAAGCGACTGACGCGTCATTGTAGACCTCCCCAAAGATCTTGACAAACGAATCCTTTGTAACACGAGAAGGCTTTATCAGCTAAATGAAAACTTAAATTAGTTTCGAAATGCTGACTTAGAAAGAATCTATATATTAATACGTGAAGCAAAAACTTTGTATCCCTTTTTACGAAAATTGCGCGGACGGAAGAGTATGAAATTTTCCACGCTTATAGAGAATATAGAGAAGAAGTGCACAATGCTAATATATTTTTAAAATAATGCATAAAAGATACATTAAATCAATAAAGAAAACATTACACACACTACATACAATGTATTTGACGCACACACGCATGCATACTATTTATTGTCAAACTTTTGTTCTTGACGTCTGTTGTCAAATTGAGATTAAATATTGTTTGTCTTTGTTAGTATTTTTATAGTGTAGTCTTGGCGAAATTTGTGATTATAGAAGCATAAAATACAATCATAATAGTGTACAAGCTTACAATTCCAATTAATTATAGTCGAATTTCGACTACTGCGGGACCTCTACTTTATTTAATTTGATTCAAATTTTTTGGAATCCCACGCTACAAACCTCTTATAACGTGATCCCTGAGATACTCGGAACTAATTCATTTCCAAGATATAATTTTCTCCGTGAAATATTCGTGTAATTTGACTTGATGCGTAATTTATCTTCGATATTATTAGCGTTGAGGATACGTTAACAGGGTTTCGAAAAGTTATTTTTCGGATGTATTGGATTATTGTGATTAAGTATGACAGGAGTGTAGCGGGAAAGTAATTTGATACTTTTAGAAATTCTGCCGTGAAGCAGTAATGTGTTTCGGTTTGAAGGGTGGGGCAGACGTTATATTGTACAAATTGAACTCACGTTTCAAGATGGGTTTTACAATATTAACGTTGTTGACGTGTATGGGCTCCGATAACCACTTAATACTGGCTAGGCCGTATGTTCGTCCATTTATATATACAACCAAAATAATCTGGTTAACTGTCGCACGCACGGTTGTCTGGAAGAATTCGCTTTCAGAGATAAGACCGCCTATTGTCCAACTATAATATTATATCTGCTTGTTGACTGTTTTTTTTAATATTTATTATATTTTGGTGTGCAATAAAGTATATTCTCTATCTTCTGTCTCTCTCACACACACACATTCAAGATAAAAAGATAAACATTACAAATATAGTGATGCGATATAATTGATTTATTTTAATAAGATGACACTCGCTTTAGCTGCTAAATGCTATCAAGGAAGATTATAATATAACTGTTCTTCACGTTTTTGACGAAAAGGAGAGGAATCAGGCGCATGGTATATAAAGGTCTATTTGACACACTAATTATTACCCCAATAACTATTACACTAAAAGATTCATGTGAACATTGAATTAATTTTTATTTCATTAAATTTTCTTTCATTTTTACTGGTGGTAGGACCTCTTGTGAGTCCGCGCAGGTAGGTACCACCACCCTGCCTATTTCTGCCGTGAAGCAGTAATGCGTTTCGGCTTGAAGGGTGGGGCAGCCGTTGTAACTATACTGAGATCTTAGAACTTATATCTCAAGATGGGTGGCGCATTTACGTTGTAGATGTTCATGGGCTCTAGTAACCATTTAACACCAGGTGGGCTGTGAGCTCCTCCAACCAGATAAGCAACAACAAAAAAAAAAAACCATTGAGCAAAATAATATAAATAATGCAACTGGAATAAAAGACAAAAGTGGAAAAAACTCAAAGAACCGTAGGAAACGTTCGTCCTTATTTATTTAGCGTCTTCGATTCTTTTAATGACCCGCAGCAGTTTTTCTTTTGGAGGGTTGCTTTGCCTACAGTATTCGAACATCTAGTTACAAGTTCGGCCTTTGGATTAAAATCTTTCGGAATTTCAATTTCGAGCTTGTGCGTAAACTTTGAAACTCTTCAATAACTTTTCCTTTCAGTTAATTCAATGATTGTGACTCAAATTATGTCTCGACTTTGTTTCATTGCATAGTTCTATTAATTGGATTAAGAAAACAAATATATACTCCTAAGTTAATTAACCTAAGTTCTACAGTGTGTATCTGTCTCTTTGAAAACATATGACAGAGTAATTCAACAGACTGTGATATACATATACAGTAATTATAATTATTATTTTTCTTTTGAATCAAGGAGTTCGCAATTGTGACCACCGACACGATGACAACATTGTTAAAATCTATTATTATTAGCCGGGTCTTGCTTGTTTGTCTGTGAAAACAATAGAATGTATACTTAAAAGTGTATAATATCCCTTAGGACCTTACAGAATGTTAGATTGGTGCAGTGAACCGTGTCCTATACGGTCGTTTGTTGCAAACAAAAAGTTCACGAACTTTTAACGGCAGTTTTGTGGTCTCTGAAGAATTAGTTACCTTGAAGCGGAGTATTGTCTTTCTAAAACTATTTTTGTAAGTTTGAAAACAGCTTGTTTTAAACAAATTAGAGCTATTGCCGTTTT